TCAAGAACAACACGCGTGAATTGGACGCCAAGGATAAGAAGCTTGACTAGGAACACACGGAAAAGTTTCCCAAAGATCCTCTGCCTTTCCCCTATAACGACCCTGACCCACAGTGCAACTTTCTTCTCGCCAAGGACTACCCTTTGCACACCCAAATTCATCGTGATGCCTCCGGTGACGGTCAGATTCCGGCCGGGGTTGACCAGCGCGTGATTGTTGATCTCCGATGGTTCGGGTATACCAAGCCTAACAAAGACAATCGCGTTGAATTTTCCACAGAGATCAGGGACGGCTTTGGGATGCTTCAGGTGAGTTCTTTTCTGTGGTTCTGCTAAAATAACTAATGGCGAATACCTCTGCCAGCCCACTTTACATTTCAAGATTGACGAGGGGGATGCCGACCGTTCCCGCAGAATGATTACTGAGTGAGTTTCCAGTGAGACTTCTATCACATCGCAATTTTAACGAACTCATTACATAGCATGGTTGACGTCGCCCGCTGCCTCGGTGGCTTCCTCTCTGGAGCTGAGCCGAAGTACCTCCCAGCCGGCTCAGCCCTCCACATTTGCGGCACCTATCGGACTGAAAAGTCTAAGGAAGATAGCGTCGTGGACTCAGTCAGCCGTGTCTGGGGCCAGGACAATCTTGTGCTTGGTGGATGCGGTGTAATTCCGACGCAGAATGTCTGCAACCCAACGCTCACTGCTGGTTGCTTCGCGCTGGCCGCTGCCGAGCAAATCGTCAAGGATGTAAAGGGATTCAAGGCCATCAAGCCCCACACCGTCTAGATTGGATCCGCACGATAAGCAGATATGGTACCTAACAAGAGATTTGAGGGTCAGAATGATACTTAAATGTGGTATCCGAAGACTCTAATCAACATTGTGTCACAAAACCTGACCCATATTAAATGTCTGCCAATGTCTTAAACCCATGTCAAAATATCTCTTGCGCTGCCAGGTGCATTCTCTTTCAAAGCCGGCGCTTTCTCAGTCATCTAGCCTAAACACCACGGCAACCTCTCCTCCACAAAGCTAGCATTAATTTAACATCTCCTTGCCTTCCCATACTCAACGCTTAGGTACCTAGGTACATAGCCATACTCAGCCATACCATAATTAGCCAAAACCTACCTTTGACCTTGACCATTTATCAACCTCCAAGCACCATTCGCCTCTTCTGCACAAATTGCCTGTCAATCAACGCCATGGCTGTGGTGGCCAAACACGATTCAGCGAAAAGATGGATGGATAAATGACACCACGTTTTCTGTTTGTGAGTGTGATTGGATGTCGCCCTATTCTCCCTGCGACCCTGTACTTCGAGCTTAACCCGCAGCCCTGCACAATCGATCCCTACCATCCCTTCGTGGCAGTTCTGCGGGGCACGGTTAAAGTCGCACAGGTGGATTCAGTTATCGATACCAAGCCAGATTACGGATAGATCCAGCAGGCCATGACGACGGTATGGTGGTAACAGTTTTGGTGCCCTCCTCTCGCATCTGTTTGTTTCCCTTCATATTTCTACAGATCATTTGTTCTACACTTACCGCGGTCAAGCGCCATACCTATCATCCGCCCCAGATTTCCACCCTCTATGACAGCCTTGTCAGGTGCTATAACACGTGGTGTTTTAGATTAGTTCCCTATATATAGAGCCTTACTTTCTGGATTTTTAATTTCATAGAAATATGGCTTTTAGACCTGAACTCTTATATGCCCTACTGTATGCTCCCACTTGTAACATTTGACATGCTCCAAGTCTCGCGGTCACTGGACAAGTCGATGAAGAGCGGGGAAGGTATCAAGTAGTCATTTGGGATTGTGGACAAGATAAGACACAGGTAAAAGTACTACAGTCTAAGCAGGCTCGCAACTCAGACTACCAGTGCCTACATCGTTACAAAAGCCTTTCGTAGCCACGCCCTATTAAAGAAACCAATTGTTAGTTACCTACTTTAGGAAGAGAAAGAGGAAAGAAAAAGGAAGAAATGTATTGTCTCAATAGGTGGAGTAATCTGTCAACTTACATTACATGTCCTTGTGCACGAGTCCAGACGATTTGCGCAGGACGACTCCGAGAAAGTACAGCAGGATACCTTCGGGTCACAGCCTTGGGGCTCAGGAATAGCTACAGCCAATGCTGTGGCAGCGAGAGAGACGAGTGCGAATTTGTAATGCATTTTATTTCTCTTTTGTTTTCGTTTTTTTGTAGAATGTGGAATGTTGAGGTTGTAATGTTGTTAATAGTATCTAGGAAAGTAAATGATGAGCGGGAAATCTTTCGCTTTTTATAATACTCTAAGTAGAATAAGCTTACGAATTTCTTTTAGAATATATTAATAGGACCGTAACTAATCATGTCATACAGGGCTCTGGGCGACAACTTAAAACCACGATTTCCTTGGTTACGTTACAGCTAAGGTATATATACTATAACGTGCTAATAACGGTATTAATAAGCAAATGGTAATAACTAGGACAATGGTTTTACTATATGTTGACAGTGCCTAACGCGACCTCCCAAAATGAAGTTATATGACTATACGCACTGCGAACAGCATTGTAGCTGCCGTTCTGTAGACGACTGGTTGCTTATATTGTGACTACTTTGCATAACATTGTCACATACCTATTCTGTACGCTGCACAGTTCAACAGTATAACTCTGTCTTACCCTTGGCTGTAATATCCTGCATAGCATTATTATACCCAAGACAATCAACGTTTTAGTTACACTACATAGTTAACCTGGAGCAATACTATATTACTTAAAGAACAACGTGTATAATAAGTATGTAGATCAAACAAGCAAGTGGATCAGCCGGCCACAACTATATTAATTGTAGAATAACGTGTATAATGAGCAAGTAGATTAAACAAGCAAGTAGATTAGCTAGCTACAACTACATTATAGATTTGCTTGCAAGATGTCTTCCCCTGTTATGTAATAAGAGAAAGCCAAAGCTAGGAGACAGTGAGAGACCTCCTAGTTATCTAAGTGCTAACCGTTGTTATATAGAGTACTCCCTTCTTGCTCGTTTTTGTTTTATAGGAATAAATACAGTAACTATATCTACATTGTTTTTTCTCTGATAATACCTACTGAATTCCACTTTCTACTTATATGTCCTGTCTATTCCTTAGTCTTACTATACATAAATGCCTAACTGTGATTTCCTAGTGTTGATAGTTAACCCTAAGGGATAGCCAAGGAAGTTCGTAGCGCCGTTCTCGTCGTTGTCGTTAAAGCAGGCCAACGCGGCAGACGCATTAGAGAAGTTAAGATCCTGGACGATATTAGGTATCATGCGGGGGCGTGGTCCAGGAAGACTATGTCACTAAAGCTGAGGGCAGAAGGCATACAATGACTGTAAACATAGGCAGCCACTTTTAGCCCCGTATTGTAGGGGTCTAGACCTATCTTGAATTGCTCAGTACTATATTTCCCCTCTCCCCTAATAGTTTCACTAATCTAGCGTCATCTTGCCATCGTCAGGGGAGCTATAGGCCTTGCCAGAGAAAGCTTATCCCACTATCTATAGCACTTTGATAAACCTATTCAATTATACCCTGGGCGTTTTGGCTCTCTGATTTCATCGCTTCCCATTCTCGTACTGAGTCGTTCACTCTCCTGCGGTCTTGTGTACCTTTCCGTTTCTGACAGCACCTTGGTACAGCAAGAACCTTCTTCCCTGCGTAATCCTTAGCATCCACCGGGAATAGTAAATACTTGTTCGCATACGCCCCGTTGTCCTCCTCTGTCTCAATGATATTGATCTGCAGCACCTCTGGGTCAGCATTGTTAGTAGGAACTAGGTGGTTGAAAGTAACGCTGTTGTGAAGCTAGGACAGCTTCGTGTGGCTAGTTCCAGTCAGAGACACCACAGAGTGGCGCCTCTAACTAATAAGACCTACATTAGGAAGAGTATTTCTAGGTAAGTTTTCTCTTATACTTAGACTTAGGAAAATTAACTACTTCTCTTTATATATATTAAGACACTATAGTTTATTATAGTTATAAGCCTAGCTCTTATATAAAAAACCCTTAAATATTATAATTACTTAGTATTCTAAAAACTCTTTTTTTTAATTTATTATTAAGTAGTTTAGCTACTTTAAAAAGTAATATTTTCTAAAACTAATAAAATAACTAACTATAATAAGTTTATTAAGCTTATTATAAAGTAAAATTAGCCTAAATAGTTTATTACTCTTAAATACTATACTAAAAATAAAAAAGTATAAGAGTATATTAATCTAGATAGTAATTTTAAAGTAAATATTTTTAACTAACTAGACTTCTAATCCTTTAATAACTAGCTCTAAGAGTATAATAAAAAAAACTAAATAATTAAAAATAACTTTAATAACTATAAATATAATAATACTTTATACTTTTAATATAAAAAAAGAACTTAGTAGTTATATAAAAAAAATATATATAAAGTAATTAAAGCCTAGGTCTAAGAAATAGTTAATTTATTATTACTTATACTAGTATATATAAAACTTTTAAATAAAAGAATACTAAGTAAATATTAACTTAAAGATAATATATTACTAAAGGCTTTTATAAAAGTTCTAAAATAGTATTATACTTTTATTAACTTTACTATAGTTATAATAGTTTAAGAAAAGTATTTAGTAATATTAGCTATAGTTAATACTAATATAGATGTTATAATATTAACTATTGTAGATAAATATTAGAGTTATTAGGTTAACCCTAATGACTTATTACTAGTAAATCCTTAGATATTTAGCTATAGATTCTCTAAGGATTTATAGGCAATAAGTTAGTTATTTAACTAACTAACCTATAATAATTATCCTTCTTTTCTTTATATATAATATAGAACTATAGTTACCTTTATTATTTATTAATTACTACTAATATATATAGTTAACTATATTAACTTATCCTTTAGTATTACTAATACTAATTAGTAGTTAACTTTACTATTAACTATATAGGTTAACTTTACTATCTAAACTATAGATTAGTAAAGTCTATAAGAAGAGGTAATTATTACTAGTTAATTATTTATACGCCTAGAGTAGGTAAGTACTAAAAAATACCTCTATAAATACCCTTACTATAATAGTTTATACTAATTACTTATTATAATAGGTTAATTAATAGATCTATAACTAGTCTTTTTAACTAGTAAAAACCTTATTAATTTATGTCTATTATATAAGCTTTATTACCTTTAGAGAAGTACTTTTAACTATAAAAAACCTCTTATTTTATATACCTATAGCTAACTAGTAATTATTTACTATATCTTATTTATTATAAGCTTTTTAGCTTATTAACTTCTTTTTCTTATATATATACTGCTTTTACTAACTAATAGTATTAATAAGTTACTAATGTAATAGTCTATTATTTCTTTTTCTTTTACTAACTAATAGTGTTAATAAGTAGCTAATATAATAGCTTGTTATTTTTTCTTAAGTTATTTACTTATAAGAGTATATTTTTCTTTAGCTATCTATACTACTAGTAGTAATCCTTCTAATAAATATATATACTTTTTAGTCTACTAGAAGAAACACCTATATTTAAGAGGTTATTAGGCTAATAAAGGGCAACAGTAAATAATACTACGCCTATAAGTAGAAGACCTAAGCTAAAATAAGTAAATATAATAAGCTTATAAGTAAGTAAGGCTTATAGGTTACTATACTTTTATTTATAAGGTAATAAAAAGAAGTTTATAATAAATATAATATACTACTTAATATAAGGTAGTAAATAGTAGTAATTAATAATATATTTACTATACTTATTAACTGTTGGAATATTAATACTAATGATTATATAACACCTAGTTAGTTAACTATAAATAGTTTATAATTTAAGGTTAAAGGGCACAGACTAGTTATTTAGCCCTTAGTTATATCAAGAGGGGATTATACTTTTAGTTAGCTAGAATAACTTAAGTTATACTTAAGTAGTATATAACTACTTTATATAATAATAGTAAAGTAGACCTATTTAGTTACCTAATAAGAAGTTAATTTACCCCTACGTTTTACTAAGTATATATATATATAAAGCCTATTTAACACTAATTAGTAGTTATATAGTAATTATAGATTAGTAAAAGTAAAGAGTTAAGCTATATTATATAAAGAGTTAGTTTATATAGTGTCTAACTATAGAAGGGCTAAAGAACTACTCCTTATTATAACCCTTTGTACTAAGACAAGTTATAATTTATATAAAGATCTAGTTTATATAGTGCTTAACTATAGGAGGGCTAAAGAACTACTCTTTAGGATAACTACTTATACTACTTTCCTTTATATATAATAGAATAAAGAAGACTATACTTTTCTTATATATATATAAGAAGTAAGTAGTGTACTACTATAAGTATATTACCTTTATTAACTAGACATTATATAATTTAAAATAACTACTAATATATTAATATAGAATACCTAGAGCTAGGAGAAAGAACCTACCTAAGAAGAATATATCTTTATATATAAAGATATATTAAAGGGCAGTAGTATTATAATTATAACCTAGAGATCTTAAACACTACCTTAATACTAGACTAAACATTAGGACCTTGCTAATAACCTGTCCTAGAAAAAGATTATAATATATCTAGTGTATAAAATACACTAGATTATCTATATAAATCTAGACTAACACTAACTTAAAAGTATTATTATAATTAACTTTAAGGACTAGATAGCTAACTACTAGAAGTATATATATTATATATACTTTAGGAAGTTTATTAGGTAAATTATAAAAAAAAGAATCTTTATTAACACTAAGATAAAGCCTAAGAATAAATAAGTAGTTAACCTTATATAATAACTCTAAGAGTAATATTAGAAGAAGTCTAGTAGTTATATAATAAATATACTAATAACTACTGTTAAAGATCCTTAAGCTACTATATAATAGGACCTAGCTAAGACACTAATAGAGTTAATTAAACTCTAGGATACACTAGTAGCTTAAGGGACTAGAAAGTCTATTATATAAATAACCTTATATAGAGTATAACTTACCTAAGAGGTAGAAGGTTTCCTAAGATCTTAAAGCTAAACTATACTTATACCCTAGAAAGATATTTATAACCTTTTACTAAAGTAAATAATTAATAATAGACTATATAAACCTTATATAATCTCTATCTTCTAAAAGGGCTAAAGAAAGAAGAAAAACTATATAGGAAAGCTATATAATATACTTTATAATAAGGCTAAAGTGTTTATTAGTTTCTACTACTGTCTCTAGATTATAAAGGACTAATACTATACTGTTTTTCTAGATATCTTATCTAATTATATAAAGGAGTTTTACCTTTATTATATTAGACCTATATAAAGGTAAAATAAAATATATACTATACTAGATATATACTTTAATACTAGCGTTAACTATAGTCTTTATTAGACTAATTAGACTACTATATCCTTTATATAAGTTAAATAAAAGAATCTAGATAAGACACTAATAAAAGTACTAGAAGTATTACTAGACAAGTTACCTCTTATATAATAAGCACTTAGTTTAGGTTTCTAAGGGAAAATTATACTTTATATATAAGTTACCTAGGCTTACTAAGGTATTCTAGAGCTAAAGACTACTCTTAGTAATCTTAAGGTACACTATTTATATAAAGAGTTCTTCTCTAATCTTAGGGCTTCTTTATAGGTTACCTTAGACAAGAGGACTATATTATATAATATTAACTTTATAGACTAAAGGTATACTTTAAACTATAAGGATAAACTATAATAAAGACCTTTATATAATTAACTACCTTACTAATCCTTTAATAAAGAGAGAAAGAATAAACTATTTTAACTAAGACCTTTTTATATAAATATACCTAAGAAGTGTTTTATATATAAGAAAAAAGATACTAGTTAACTAACTATATAGAAAAAGAATATAATTATATAAAGACTTAATACCTTTAAGTATATAATACACTTGCCTAGGACTTATATAAAGACTTTATAGCCTATCTCCTTAAAGTAAAGAGAAAAAGCCCTATAAAGAAGAAAAAGGAGAATAATAACTTATATAATAAAGAATAATTCTTAGATAACTAAGAAGTCTCTTAGTATTTACTAACTTTAGCTTTCTTTTATTATATAACTAGTAAAGATATATTCTTAGCTTTAAAGACTATTAAAGTAAGTTAATTCTTACTTAAGGACCCTTATTATATAATATACTAGGGAAAACTATAGGATACTAGAGTAGCTAAGTTTTTAACTATAGGAAAGCCTTAGGTACTAGTGTACTTAAGAGAGAACCTATATATAAAGATCTCTTAGAACCTAGGTTTTACCTATATATAATTTAAAGTAAATAACTTTATAATATTAATAGGAACTATAGAGATAAAGAACTAGCTAGGAATAGTTAAGTATTATATCCTTAATACCTTAACCTTATTCTTATTTTTATTATATAATATAGATTAACTAGGTGTATACTTTAATAATATTACTAATACTATTATATAAAAAGATAATATATATATACTTGTTATATAAAAATAAAGATACCTTTTCTTTAACTTTAGTTATATAAAGGCTTTAACCTTCTTTACTAAAGAGTAGCTTTAAAGACTTTATAGATGTTTTAGATATCCTTATATAGATTAACTTTACTAGCTCCTAAAGAACACTAGATATAATAATATTAATACATTAATATTAGAAAAGATCTAGAAGTTTTATTATTATTACTAATTATATAACCTAGCACTATAATATTTTAAGTTCTTTATTAAAGATAAAAGCTACTTTAACTATAAGATAG